TTATTATATATGCAATATTCTGTCTGCGTGTATTCCTGCAGGCCAGAAGAGGGCACCAAACCTAATTACAGGTGGTTGTGAACCACCGTGTGGTTGCCGGGAATTGAACTCAGGACCTTTGGAAGAGCAGACGATGCTCTTAACCATTGAGCCATCTCTCCAGCCCCCTTTATTGGTTATTTTTTTTTTTTAATTGTAATTTATTTTTATTTTCTGTGCCTCTGGTTTGAGTGCTGTAATTGTACATGTAAACCCACAACACCCAATACTGGTTTTTGTTTTTTGAGACCATATCCAGGACTATTCTGGGGCTCACTGTGCAACTAAAGATAACCTTTAACTTCTGACCCTCCTATCTATAGCTTCTGAGTCCTGGGACTGCAGCTGTGCACCACCACGCTTGGTTTGTGCAAGTTCTAGCCCTACCAGGCCTACGCAGTGACAAGAACATTACTGCTGTCATAACATTGTAAAATGGGTGGGGTTTTGGTTTTCATTTCCTTAATGGCTAATGATGTTGCACACCTTATGTCCTTATGGCCATTTGTGTGTCTTTGTGTGTTTGTTTGTTTTTTAAAGATTTATTTATTTTTTTAAGCCAGTGCTCTTAACCTCTGAGCCATCTCTCCAGCCCTTGTGTGTCTTTTAAAAGGGGGGAAATGTCGCTCCAATTTGTACTTTTTAAAAATTAGGTTGACGGTCTTTCTGTTGTTGTCAGTTTGTAATATGTGTCTGGATCGTAGATGCTTTTGAGGTGTGTGATTTGCAAATACGTTTTTATTGTATGAGTTGTTGCTGCTTCTTTATGGTGTCCTTTAATTTCATATACAAAAGTTTTTTGTTATTGTTGAGTCCAATTTATATTTTTTGCCTTTTGTATGCTCCTTAGGCGTCCTGGCCCTTCCCCCCTCCCCTTCTTTTTGGTGAGGATTGAACCCATGGCCTCCCATACATGGTAGAAAAGTGCTGTAACACTGAGCTAACCTAATTCTCTAGTTACTTTTGAAAGTATATATCAAACATGGAATTACAGTCCATCTTTTCTTCTTTGTATGTGGTGCTGGAGACCACTTGGGCCTTCAGCAGACTCTATACGCACCCTACCACCGAGTGAGTCTCTAAGGCCCATTTGAATTTTTGTTAGATATGCATGTATTCCATCTATGAAGAATGAGTGTACCTTTTCTCCATCCTCACCCATACCATGTATTAATCAGCTTTGGTTTGTTTGGTTTTGATAGGTGGGAATAAAATTTGAAAAGCATTTCATCAGTAATTTATTTACTTTATTACTTATGTATTTCTTCAGCCTATAGTCACTCATAGGTATGAATGTTCACATCTTTTGTATGTTTTATTTCTTTAATTGGCTATAACAGATGCTACATTTATGTGTGACAAGCGGTGTAACAAGAAACGATTGTGTGGCCGGCATAAGTGTAACGAGATATGCTGTGTGGTAAGTGGACTTATCATTGGTTGGTGTAGTCGGATTCCATTCATCTGGAAGCCTCAACCCTCAGAATGTGACCCAGATTTGGAAGTCGACCGAAACGGTAGAGTTTCTCCCACTCCCCACGTGCACTCAGCAGACAACCTTTTTAGGCTTTTAGTGTCATCCGCTGCACAGGGGAAGCAAAGGATGTGTGGAAGGCCTCCTCCGACCCCAATCCTAAGAAGTTTTAGTTTTTGCTTTTTGAGATTTCCTTTTATTTATTTATTTTGATTTTTTTTTTAAGTTTTGATGCGTGGGGGGGGTGTCTGTTTTGGTCAGTATGGGGTTTGTATACGTGAGCGCAAATGCCTACAGAAGCTAAAGGTCAGTATCAGACCCCCTCTGGAACTGAAATTACAGGCAGTTGGGAGCCACCTGGCATGGGTCCTCTGCAAAAGCAGTAAATGCTCTTACCTATTGAGCCATCTCTCCAGCTCCCAAGACAACTTTAGAATGGTCCTTTGGGACTGTGTTGTCCCAGCATAGTGGGCCTTAGCAGAGGCCAAAATAAGTATCCTGAGTTTTGTTTCTTTTTAAATACAGGTTCTCCATATATTGCCCTATCTGGCCTAGACATTGCCTTATAGACTAGGTTGGCCTTGAACTTAGGATTTTTTAAAGGCACAAGTTTCATTTATTTAAAATAATTGTTTCTGTAGAATTAATTGTAGGTCCTCTACCTGACATTGGTATTTTGTTAATCTATATGTGTACACATATATATGTAATGAGATACTGATGCGTATAAGCACAGCCACATATATATACATACAAACAAAGGAGAATAATAACAAGGTAGTGTAACTATATATGTGTATACATATATATGTAATGAGATGCTGTATGATACATATAAGCACAGCCACATATATATACATACAAACAAGAGAGAATAATAACAAGGTAGTGTAACTATATATGTGTATGCATATATATGTAATGAGATGCTGTATGATACATATAAGTACAGCAACATATATATACATACAAACAAGGGAGAATAATAACAATAATAAGGTAGTGTAACTATATATGTGTATATGTTATTCATGTATATATGCTTGTTCCTCTCTCTAAAAAAAATTATTTATTTATTTATTTTCCTGGAGACAGTCTCACTATGTAGCTTAGCAGGCCGGGAACTTACTATGTAGGCGAAGGCTGGCCTTTAACTCACTGCTTCTGCTTCCCAAGTGCTGCTATTCAAGGCATGCACCACAACACCTGACACAATCTTTAAAATTTTATATTTTGCAGCTATGGAGATAGTTAAGTTAGTAAAGTGATTACCTTACAAGGATGAGGACTTGATCCCAGCACTCTTTAAAAATGCTGGGCATACTGGAGGACCAAGAAGGCTGAGTCTGATGAAGTAAGACTTTGCTGATACACTCCTCCTAGACAAAGGGGTGGGAAGAACAGCCCTTACTGGAGAAAACCACAGGGCTGACTGTACTACCCAACATTTTTCACTGTCTTTGCTATTTTTTTTATTTTTTTAATTAATTTAACATCTATTGAAGAGAAGTGGGTGTGCTTATTTAACACTGTAAAAAAGAAAATGCTTGATTCCCAGTGCTGGGAAGACATAGGCAGGAGAATCCCTGGAGCTTGCTGGCAAGCTGTTCTAGCCCATTGACGAACTCCAAGTTAATGAGAGACCTTATCTCAAAGGAGATGAGAGTGTTCTGGGAGTGGGACCTGAGGCTGGCCTCTGGCCTCCTCTCATTCCCACACACGTGTACCTAACACACATGTAAAAACCCTTGTCTTGACAAAGAAAAGAGTGATGCTGTTGTGTTCTGTACTAAGGTGGGCTAGTCAGTGTTTGGAAATCTAAAGACTGCTCTATCAGAAAGTTCAAAGCGAAGCAGCGAGGTAGCACAGTGGAGCCCATCCACACAGCATCCAGCTGCAATAGGTGTCTGCTCATGACTAATCTCGTGTCAGTCCTGTCTTCCCCTTCTTCCGTTCATAATGTGTGCAGCCTTGTTATTTTGTTTATAAAATGGAGAAGAATCATGAACAAATAGAGATCTCTCCTGTTAGGACAAGGAGCACAAGTGTCCTTTGATTTGTGGGAGGAAGCTCCGTTGTGGCCTTCATCGGTGTGAAGAACCTTGTCATCGAGGGAACTGTCAGACCTGCTGGCAAACCAGTGAGTGCCTTCACCGCATTCGTCAAGAGTTTCTGGAGCCGGTCGTAGTGCCCTATGTCTTTATTCAGCACTTAGAGGCAGAGGCGAGCCCATCTCTGTCAGTTTGAGGCTAGCCTGGTCCACATAGTGAGTTCTGGGACTGCATGTAGCTAGAACTACATAGTGAAACCCTGTCTCAAAAACAAAACTAAAGTTTCCTGGCATATTTTGAGCAGGTGGTTTGCTTAGATTGGTAAGAGGTATTGAAGTAAGCCTTACTATTTCAAACCTGTTGAGACTTGGTAGTTATTCTTAGCCGGCCATTCGTATAATGACAGTACAGGAGACAGCAGGGCCGTGGCGAGCAGATAGCAGGTGTTTAAGTGCAAAACCCCACGTTCCACCCCCAGAACTAAGCAGGGGGCTAAATAAATGACAAAACTAGATATACCTATCTCTTTATATTATTATATCCCAAACTCAGGAAGGCTTGTTTTCTTTCGTCTGTGCCCTTAGGTTTTGATGAATTAACCTGCCACTGTGGCGCCTCTGTGATCTACCCACCAGTCCCCTGTGGAACTAGGCCTCCCGAGTGTACTCAGACCTGTGCCAGAGTCCACGAATGTGACCATCCAGGTGAGTCCCACCGTGTTGCCACCCCTCACGGCCTACTCACAGCCTGTGGGTTAGCGTGTGGCTGTGTAGAGGACTCAGACCATCTGGGTTAGCTGCCGTTGCTCCCCTGCTTCTGTGAAGGTGTATCTTGTATCTGTCATCTAAGCCACCGCCAGTACTTGACAACACGCTCACAGTCCTCCAGCTGTCAGACACATCCCGGAGTGTGAAAGAACCTCGTTTGTTTCTCAACTTTTTGTACATATTTCAAAACTGGACTTTTTTTTTTTTTTTTTACAGAATTAAAAATAATTTAGTTAAAGCTCAGCAGGTAAAGGTGCTTACTTCCAAGCCTGGTGACCTGAGTTTGATTCCTTGGTCCCTGTGGTGAGAACTAACTTCTGAAACTTGTTCTCTGATCTCCACGCACGTGCCATGACGCACACACATGCACACACATTCATTCAAACACAGCAAAAAAAAAAAAAAAAAAGTAAATATGATTTTTAAAAAAAATCTTAAATTTGGTTTTTGTTAGAGAAGCAATATGTTTCTTAAGTAAAATTATAAAAAATTTGGGCTTGAGAGTTGTCTCACCAGTTAAGAGCACTGGCTGTTCTTCCAGAGGACCTGGGTTCAATGCCTAGTACCCATATGGCAGCTCACAACTGTCTAAAACTCCAATTTCAGGGAGTCTGGCGCTCTCATGTACAGGTGTACATGCAGGCAAAGCACCACATAAAAATAAATTAGTTTAAAACTAAGTCAAAAGATTGATATTAAATCACCTACTATAGCACTTTTTTAAAAGATTTATTTTTAATTATGAGTATGTCTATGAGTATGTACATGGATGCACAAAACATAAGTCCATTTCTCCAGATAGGGAGCCCACAACATACCAAACGCCATCTTGGTGGGCCCTTGAGTTTTATTGGTGTTGATTACTTGCAGGAGCAGAAATGACTCAGTGATAGCTGAATCAGCATAGTGTACCCCAACACAGGTGACAGCTCACAAAAGCTGGGAACCTAGAGCACTCCGCATAACCTGTGGGAGGCTCAACACTGGAGAGTGTCCTTTCCAGGTGCCTCAGCTGCTCTAAGTAAGCTTCCCTAGGCAGCTGGTCCAGGGTCTTTGCAGCTTGGCTCGTCTGAGAGCGACCCTCTGCTGGCTTTTTTTTTTTTTTTTTTTTTT